TTTTAAAATATAAAAAAAAAAAAATCAGCAAAACTATGAGAAAAGAAATTTTGATAAGGAGAATATGAACAATCCAAAATCCATAATATATATGTTTTAAGTGTTATAAAAAAAAATAACAAACTTTTAAAACATTATTCAGATACTGAGTTCAACCGGAAAAAAAATACTTATTCAGCCAGAAAACAAGGTCTTAATTACTATTATAAAAGTCTAATCTTGAATAAAAGAAGAATCAACAACACTAATGATGTGAAAAAGGTAAGGTTGATATAAGGTTAGCCTGGGAAGATTTAGGTCTAGATCTAGTAATCTTACCAGCATCTATTCCTGTCTTCCTCCAACTGTTGGCAAAAGTAGCAGTAGAAGTCACAAGTTGTCCAGCTTCTGTCTCCAGATCATCTGTGGGATTTCCATTATACTTGCCACAGAGACCCCTGATTTTGCCTTTGAGCTCATCAGATATCTAAAAACCATACACAAATGGATAAAAAAAATATTCATCAGCGCACTGAATACCGTAAAACCATAAACCCATTGATTATGCACTCTTTTTTTTTTTAGGCCAACAAAACCAATCATCAGAAATTGTAGGAGTTGATTCATTCTAGATTCTAGATTCTAGATCTTAAAAATCTTCTTAATATCCATAGAGGAAACTTTGGAAGGACTTCGGTAACGAATGACCATTCCAACAAATAGAATAAAGAAAGAAACTTAACCCTAACCCTGACCCAATCCCTAACCTACCCTAACCCTTACCCTGAACCCCAACCCTTTCTAGATTCTATATTATAATTCTACTCTGTATCAGAGGTCCCTCGTTAGGGAATTCCTCCCTCTGCAGTAGGCTATGATGACACAGATGGGCATTGCATGTCGTTTCACAACAGGCATGTAGATCTAGATCTAATGTCCAACGGTGCTTGACGAGAATATTATTTTTATCTTACCTGTAAAAACACAGCCAGCTTTCCATCCCACTTGATGCTGTAACCCAAAGAGCTTCTGAAAGTCAGGTAGTTCCCGACTTTTTCGAACACTGTTCCATCTCGGGACCCCGGAAAAGACAGGCTCTGAAAAGTGGGCACAAGAAGCAGACAATCAAAACAAAATCCAACGACTGTTCAAAATTTAGGCGGTCTAAACACCTCCAACTTGGCCTTGTTAAGCTAGCTCTTCAACTTAGCTAGCCAAGGACCCTAGAAATCTAGGCCTAGGCCGAGGCCTAGTAAGTGTGTGTGTGTGTGTGTGTGTGTGTGTGTGTGTGTGTGTGTGCGTGCGTGCGTGTGGTCTGCTCACTTTCTCACTCGGCTGTCTGTCTGCTGGAACTTGGAACTTGAGCTGGCGTGACCAACGTACCCAGTCGTCCTTTATCTTTCTCCCCTTTTTAGCCATAATCTATAATGCATTCGTCTCATCAAGTGCCAGATCAGATGCTGGCATACAATCATGACTTGATCTAGCCAACAATTTCTCTGTTTGGATTAGCTAAAAAAAAATAATTTATATATAGATCTATAGATCTATATAAATATTTTTCTGAACAGCTATCTTTTCAAGTTCTCAAAATTAGGCAAATATTTTGTATTTGGTCAACCTCTACTTCTTTCACCTTCTAATATATTTTCCAGCGAGAAAAAGATGTTCAAGACTTTTCCATCGGGCAAATCAGAATAAGCAATTAATAGTTGATCTAGGCTAGCCTACGTATTATGCAAAACTATATGTTACAAGGAAAAAGGATGATAAATGTTTCTCTTGATACCATAGTACAATGGACTATTACTATTACTATACATACCTGTTTGTTCCAAACAATCCCCATTGCTCCATTGGTTTTGCGTAGAGCTATCTCGACGCCTCCTTGATAAATTTCTACCTGGCGCTCACAAGTACCTCCGTTGCCGCAGTTTGGGTCGTTAACGAGCATAATCTCAAAGACGTTTGGTGCGTGCACTAGAACATAGCGGCAGTTGCCCTGTACGAAAAGGTGAGTAGATGAGAGACTGATCATATTGACTCAGTTTCATGATCAAGGGATGGAGAGTGAACGGCTGTCAAGATTTAGCATGTTTCAAAACAACTTTACCCAAGACATGGTGAACATTGACTGAAGATGATAAAAAAAGGCGATAAACTGTGTGTTTATAAGAAGAGCATAAAATCCCTCATTACCAAACTAAAGAAGTAGAAAGGACATGTCTCAGATGGTTGATTTGAGTACCAGGTCCTACGACGTTTGCATAATGTATGAAACCTATAAATAGGCCTACTGGTATACGTAGCCTGTATGTATGTGTGTATGGGCGATATGTGCATGACGTTTATTATATTTTTAGTAAAGGATATATTATATAAATAGTTTAAATGCTAAATATTATTTCTATGTTAGCCTAGATTCTAAATGCATAATATTGTAATGTTGGCTGTATGAATATCTTCTGCATGTGTGTGCCTGTAAAGGAATTATTTTTATTTTTTTTTAAACACATCTATTCGTAATGTTGGTGTAAAATCAGTAGTTTTAACTAATAACGAAACAGTATCATAACGCGTTCTCTCTCTCTCTCTCTCTCTCTCTCTCTCTCTCTCTCTCT